TAGATGATCTTTAAGGTCCCTTCCAACCCAAACCATTCTGTGATTCACACAAAGCTAAATGCATATATATGTATTTTTACAGTCACATCATCACTGTTACCACTACAAAAATCACATCAATGACTCCAGAACAAGCCGAACATGGTCACAGCAGGAAACGCACAACAACCCACTTTGCAGTGATTCCTGTAATGTCACTGAATTGCACTTTCACTGTGCAGATGGTACCATTGAATGCTCTACAACACACACTTTCATCTCCAATTACCTTCATCATATAGGCTGCATATTTACTTTTGTTTAAATCCCCACTGGTTTCTCTCAACATGAACAAATCTTAATTTTCTTTCACTCTGGAATGTCAGAAGATTGACCATACTTTTCTCTTTTGCCCACACTGCTTTTAAAGCGTGGTTGTGTGGACCTGCTACCCAGTGTCACAGAGCTTGGTTGCACTGTACCTGACCTCAGAAATGGAGTTTGTGAACCAAGAAGTGAATAGAGGTCAGAGCTTATAAACACTCACAGGTTCAGAAGTGAAGTTAAAGAGAATTTTAATTGCAGTGTCTGGTTTGAGGATACCGCTACCAGTATAGTTACCAATGACTAGCAAAGGCCACTGAAGATAAGAAACAAAAAGGAAGCAACACGTATAATAATTTTAGTGCCTTATTACTGTTTGAATCAAATAATATTTTACTCTTCAACAGATACAAATCTGGCCATGATTTGTCATACATTTTCATAGAACCGCACAGCTTTGACTGGTTGGAATTATTATGCTACCCCAACTTTTCTCTGCTTTCCTTTTCTTTCTGTCATGAGGAGACAGCTGAACAAATATTATCTCAGAATTGTACTGTCCTAGCTGGCACCTGACCATTTTCAGGGCTTGTTTATACCTCTCCACACTGAGCCTGTAAATGTTCTGTCCCGCATCGCCTCAGTGACACAAAACCAAGCCCCAGGGGCTTGCAGGAATAAACATACCTTCCTTCACTTGCCTGCCCTGCCAGCACCTTCACACGCAGCGTATAAAAGCAGGCAATTAACGGTCTCCTGATAGCTTACTCGGAATAGAGAGAGACCATTTCAGAAACTGGTGGGCAGTTGTTCTCACAGAAAGAACAGTCCCTCAAGCTTTCCAAACCTTTACAGGTTTGTTCTACGCAATTTCACCTCTCACCCTTCACCACACTTACTTTCTTTGAGACAAATGGAAGCTAATGGAATTTATCAAATCTTCTGCCATTTCACTTCTTTTACAGAGCAACCCACAGCTCTGTAAAAGGACACCACATCCAAAGGAAGCAATCCTAACGGCGCATAGTCCATCAGCACAGCAACACACAAGCACAGCACAGGGTTTGATGTAAAGGCAGACTGCAAACAGGAGCTAAACACTGCCTGGAAGGAAAGCACTGCATGTTTATTAAACTCAATTCCTTTACCTACACTATTCTCATTTTACTTGGTTTTGTGTCCATCCTCTTTCAGAGTTTCAGGAAACACAGCAAGCTGGGAGATGAGCTAGATGAACTAAAAAGTCTTTTTCATTTTTGTCTGTGAACTTAGACCTTATAGCTCACAGTCCTGGGTTTGAGGCAGCTTAGCACTAACCTTTCCCTCTCGGTTTGCCAATCCCCTCAAGACAATTCTGATTCGTACTGAGGACAAGAAGTTAGGAAAATTGAAGTGCATGGAACAGATTCAGCTAATAAAAAGAACATTGTGAAACATTACCTAATTGTTCAGTAATGTTTTTATGCATTGTCTAAATTTGGGCTTGGAAAGGCCTTCAGCTTAACAGAGATATGAACAGATCCTAAATATTGGATGTACAGGGTTTTTAATGACATGGGGGGTGTTTAGTTCCCTCCTACAACCCCCTCTAAATAAAGGGGAACAAACACACATTCAGAAAATGAAGTATCTACACAATTGAAGCAGTATAGCAAGCAGTTACTCACAAATCGTAACATAAATATACAAAGTCCTTTATATAAAGACATTTCCATATATAGTATTACTTTCTCTTTTTGTTAATCTAAATAAAATGTTAACTTTTGCACTACTCATTACAGAAATATATATATACACATACTTTTTACTTACACTTTCAATAATTAATAAATAACTTCAAAAAGAATAGCAGCCTTGCTTTTCGTTATTCAAGGGCAGCACTTCAGGCCATTTTAGAATCCTCTAGAACTCCTCTTCCTAAAAATTTGTCATAAAGAGGTAGCTTCATGGGTATGAAATATGGTACTCTGGCTATCTCCAAGCATTAAGTGAACTAATGCACAATTCTCTATCCTTTGAAAGTAGACCTATATAGGCCTAAATATACAGTAGTGAATTTTACAGAATTACCAAGAATTAAATTTTCAAGTCAAGCTTTGTTTTTTGCCCTTCTGCTCACAAGTGTGGTAATCCTGGGCAACTAACCTTGACCTTTCTCTTTAAGCACTTATTATTTAGGACCTACAGAATGACCAGAACATCCTTTCCAGTCCAGAAGATAGAAATGTGTCAGGGATCAAAAAGAAATGGTGTTAAGCTACAAAGTCTGTACCCAAAACCATTCTGAATCAGAACCTCCAATTATGCATAAGTATAGTTTCAGAAATTTAGCTTTAGAGATCCTGGGTTTAATTTTTTAAAAACTTGTCATTTGTGGTCTGAGGAGTGGTAAGGTCAATTTGACCAAATTGTTGCTGGGGATACGTCTAGAGACTACTATAACCACAAGTGGAAGGAGCAAAGTTTCCACTTCTAAAGGGACGTGGGTGTGTGCCGCATATCTAGGATTATCCATTTTGCACTCACAGGCATATTTCCAGCTTCTGAGATGAACATGTAGATCCACTCACCAAAGTAACAGCAGGGATATGAACATCCAACTCAGTGGTTAGGGTAGTTCAACAGAAGTCAAAGAGACACAGATCCTAAATTGTTGTACTAATAATCTGGCTTCTGTGATGTGCTGGTCAGTTTAATAGTCCGTATATAAAGAATAAAGGAGAAAAAATCCACAGTTTCTGTATTTATCCTTGAAATGCAGTAATAATTTAAAAAGAGAGCAGCTAAGAGAGAAAACATTCAGAAATCAATATGGCCTAGCACTGTATCACATTTAAATGGATTCTATAGCGTTCACTATACCTCTCAAAAAATAAAGGTGCCTTAACTTACAATCACTTCCAGTTTTCCCTGGACATCATGGGACTTGATAACCCAATTGACAGACTTTTTACACTTGAGGATAAGTATGACGTCTCTGACAAGCTTGGCGCCTGGTTGAGATGGTTTAATGTCAACGATTATATCCACCTGGAAAGTACTGTATGTGGAAAATAGAGAGAAAGTTAGACCAGAATGCCAGAAATTTCAGCTATCAACCTCCTTCCAATCCATCATGTTTCCACTGTCTGGCCAGCTGATTAAAATGCTGGAGATTATCCCAGGCAACACAACATGTGCAAAACAGATTGTTACTCCACATACGCTTAAATGATTTTGCATAACAATATAAACAAATTTTTGTCCCTTGTTTACAAGAAGGGTGCTACTCATTTCAGCTGTTATTTAGAGCAGGTTAGTTATGTGACTAGCAATTGGCTTTATAAAGTAAATATTGCTTTCTTATTTCACTGCAACAGTGCCTAAATATAGCTGCTTCAGTTTCCTCTGGCTATAACGGTCTTGAGTTCAAAATAATACCTTAAAAAAGCAAAACCACAAATTAAACAGGTTAATACCAAAAATGCACAAATACTATACTGGGGAGTGGCTCTGCCTAGGCAGTTAAATTGTGGAAATCACTCTGCTTTGGATCTTGCGTGTTGAGGAATTAAGCCGTTGAATTCAGTTTCCAATACTTCTGGATATATAGTTACTTTAAAAAGAAAAGAAAAGAAAACAGATGTCCAGCCTACAGTGCTGGAAAATAGATGAACACTATCCAGATTTTCAAGACCTCAGTAAAATAAGTAGAACAAATGGGTTTGTACCCATCAATAACATCTCATCGTGCAAAATATTAATTCAACAGAAAAATTTTTACTTCCAGATCATATTATGGGGCCATATGTCATAAGAATGTGCTCAGCCCCAGGTAACAGGTTTTAACTAACATTCTGCACTGATACTTAGTGTATCTTGGGACCTTCATTTCACCTACTGCAGTTTTACACATGCTCAGCTCAGCTTCGACCTGTTTCTTTGTAGATACAGACTTTGCAAAGATAGCTGTGGACAATACATAAAACCAAGAATAAAGCAAGAGGAATTTAACTTATTACTTTTTAACTTTTAATACCAAAACATTTAAACATTTTGCAGTATTATCTGAAAAACAAATTCCTATCGTACTATCAGCCAAAGCCAAAAGCCTAGAGGGCCTGAGAGACAGGGCTATCATTGCGTAACACTGCAAGGGACTTACACTGATGTTGATGCTAAACAGCAGCTCTGTTCAGGATGGGGCTGCAGCTCATGCCACAGAGGCACGTAATTTGGCCTTACCTACTCCACTTCCACTACATCTCTGCCCTTTCTTACTTGCCCAAGGTTGCTAGGCAAGAATATTCTCAGGCTATGGGTTCACCGTCTTGCTTCCCACCTCTATCTCCCTGCGAGATTTCCTCATTAGGGATAGGATGTGCTCAAATGCAACTGCATGAGGAGCACAACTGGACAATGCCTTGTCTCTGATGAAATTCTACTTTTCCTCTTGAAAAAGGGAAAATCATTTAAGTTCCATAGCAGGTTTATCTTCTAGCAACCATTCTCAGCACTTATGAAGAGCTTTCCAGGTATGACTATCTAAAGCAAACCCCATTCATGTGCTCCAACTAAGACCTAGGAGAGACCAGCAAAGCAGGATTGTTTTAAATGTCTTACCTCCCAGGTTTACAGTCCCTTTGACAATTTAGATAATCCTCATAACCCATGCAGAGATTTAAGAAATTTTCCCTACCCACCAGTTATAAACATTTCTGGTCAGTGGACCACTGTCAACCCTTAATATTTTTTGCAGTTATCAAACTATGCCTTAAACTCAACTGGAAACTTGACAGAAACCACTGTTATGATTCTGCAGATCAACTGTGGAACAATTACCATGGACCACAGATCACTTGCAACCTCTGGACGCTGTCTGGGAGCCACTGCCGTAGGCCTTCATGCCAGTCATCCCTACCTGTGACAGGTCAAAATTACTTTTAACCTCTCCCTCATCTCCTCATACAGTGGTCCCATCTTAAACCCTGTCTGTCAGATGTTGCCCTTATTCATATTCCCTTATTCACCTTATTCTTGGAAATATTTGATTGATTGAGCAAGAAGAGGGGCAGAATACAGCCCATAAAAACTGTGCTTTGCAGTCTTGTCCAGAAAAAACCCTGGGATTGTGAAGCAGAATCCAAAATCTTTACATTCCAAATAACTAATTTCTGTTTACGACAAAGTATTAAGGTCCAAGCTCTTACTGTGACGATTCAATGGCTACTTGCATTTGATTTATATAGACAGGTGAAATCTTTACCTGTGATTTCAGATTTAGTCTATTTAGACAATACTTTACCTGTATGGATTGGAATTCGGAGTGATCAGTTCAATGATATGAACTTCTCTTTCTTGGACTAAGTTAGACATAAGACACCCCTCTGCTGTTTTTGGTTGCAGGTATCCCGCAAGATAATTTAAAGAGAGAAAATTCTTTTCTATGTTGCATGAGGGAGGAAAAACTTGGTCTGGATGGGAAAAAACCAAACAAACAAACAATCAAATCATATGCACCTTTACACACAGATATCAGCTACATGCATGTATGTACCAAATCTACTTCACAAATCAACATAATATTGAAAGGGAAATCACTGCTGCAACGACAGAGCACATCTGTGATGTAAAATATATACTTCTAAACTGAACGGTTTAGACTTATGTATTTAATTATTTAATGAAAGAAAATCCCTACAAATAGAAATCTGAAAACAATATTGAACCAAAATATGTAGGCATTTTTCAAAAATACAAAAATACATACATTTACATACAAAAATAAAATACATTTAATTTGTTCCTTGCACCTTTAAAAAGAGATGTCTTTGTAAATTAAGTCGGAAAACTTAAATTCTCAAGTTCAATTGATCAATAAAAATCCATTCTCTCTCCCTTTAGAAAATGTTTTATTTTTGTTATTAGAAACTTACCATATTTAAAAGATCACAAAACGTACTTCCCATTTCCTTACTCAACATATTTTCCTATATATTGTGTAGTCAGTGTTGTCTAAAACTACTGCAGTTGTCTCGTGCATGGAAAATTGGAAAGTATGAACTCAATTCTTGATATTAAGGAAGTATCCATACTGAAATGAAGAAATTCTAGAGTAGATATTCAGTCTCTCTCTTGGTTTTAACTGCCTAGCTGATCACAAGCATTAACTAGTGTACAATGTGAAACATAAAAAATAGTCACTTGGCTTGAAGTTCTCATGCACAGCCTACATTGCTGTGCTCCGAGAAGCATTACTACCACTGAAAAATAGCAATACTTTGTGTTTCTGAGATAGCTTTACATATGAATTGTCATGTTCAATAACAAGAAGTCCTGTAAGAATATAATTCCAAATGTCTGGCTCTTTAGCCTCTGCTTTACAAAGGTGGCTTTCCTATTAAGATCAGTAGCAAAACAGGAAAAAAAAAAATCAAATATAGTGCATATTCACTCCAAACTGAGAATGAACTCTTAAAAGCTGAGCTGAGACCACCGTTAGCATTTGCTCCCTAAGTAAGAGCTGAAATGTCACTCTCTAAGTGCATTTGTGTGCGGTATGCAACTCTGCAGGGAGACCAGAGACTCCTGTGACCCTGGCCACTGCGGAAACAGTTAGGGGGTTTCATCTCCTGATCCTGATTTCTGACACAAAGTACTCTTTCAACATTAACCTTGCTTTCTTCCCTACAAAATCTGTGAAAGCTGTACGAGGCTGTAACTATTCATACTGCCCAAGCAAAGCACTCCTCTAACATCTGGTTTGTGCCTTGCCAGATTAGCCTTGAAAGCAGCTGCAGTTCTGCCAGCTCCTCCCACAACAGCAGAGAATGGAAAATGATCCCAAACGGTCTGCACTGAGCTTGAATTTATATATTTACATACACACACAGACACAGATGGAGATACTAGATATTTGCTTCTCAGCTGCTGTACAACACAATTCAAGCCATAAAATAACTGCCTCTCCATAGGTTGTGGATAATTACCACACACACTATCGTTTGCCATTGCAAAGAACTTGGTTCCTGCTCCTGGCAGGAACTTCCACCAAACATCTCTGGAGGGCTCAAGAACCACTGCTCCCGCTGCCACCAGCACGGAGTCTCCCCAGCCTGGGCCTCTGCGCGATAGCACGCTTTTCCCTGGCAGCAAACTTTAACTCTGTCACTGGCTAATTTGACGTACACACTTTTTTCCCCCCTGTTCACCAAAATGTATTTACTCTTCTCCATCCTGGTAACCAAGATCTGGGCTGGAACAGAAAAGAAAGGGGGATCCACTTCATTGTTCTTTGCTCACTACACTTCTTTTTTAGATTCAGGGCTGTCTTCTTACTTTGGAACGGGACTGCAGGTGGCTGCAATCGATTAAAAACCTTACTAATCCAGACGGCAAAGAGTCAATTAGAGACCCTGTGCCTCTCTAATCTCCACAGACTCTGAAGACGGAATCAGACAAGAGTTTGCCTGCACAGCCTCAGCAGCGGGTCTCCAGCCTGCACTCCGGCAGAAGGCACGCAGTGGAGCTGGCAGCCGCTGGCGCGTGCCAGGCTGCTCAAACAAAGACAGAGGATTGCACACTGGGACCTGTAGTTTCTGCAGCCAGCACCTCCATTTTACAGAGGAGGACAGACACTGCCTACTGTATTCTCTCCAAATTGGGGGTCATCTACAGGTTCTTGGCCAAATTGGATAAAAGTTGGGTATCCCAGCTTAAAATCATTAGGAGGCTTCTGTGAGAATGAGCACTGTTAATCAGGTGTCGCTCTCGAGGACAGGTGCCCTGGGCAGCAGCAGTTCGATTCATCAATAAAATACCATTTCAGCAGAGCTTGCCTTTCAAAGTCTGAGCTGGGAATAAGCAAGGCGTTCGGGATCCTCCTCAACCACTCCGATGGCAGGGCTTTTTCACATGTATTGTGCAGTTTACTAGCCCTTAGCATGATGGAGATGAGAACCTTGACTGACATTCAATGGCCGGGTATAAAACGCCAGCAGGGAAGGGGCTGCCGCGGGCTATGGAGGGAGGGTGGAAACACCCAGCAGTACTCACACGCCAGCAGGACGCACAGCTAAAGCCTGACACAGCGCAATCGCCTACAAGCATTACGCCATGCAAGTCTGCTGTGCAGGCTACGTGCGCTAGTGGTGCAGGCTACCAGTTCAGAGTCAGGCCTGAAGCGTCAGCTTGTGCCATGACAGGAGAACAGTGTTAGCATTTGTAACTAGACTGTACATTTTCCAGCCTCGTTATTGTTATGGTTAACTGATTTTTTTCTTATTTAGCTAAGAATTATGGTGAAATTAGGCTTCCTTCAGGCTAGCACACCTGCCCTGGACTTCCACTGGCAGTACTGGATGTGTTAGGTAACATTTAGCTAATTGATAAGTATTCCTGACTCGTACAATCTTATCTTATTGAAGCATGAGCAATTAAACCAATTTCTGCTGAAAAACACGAATTAAGATCACTTTCACCATGTGCAGTCCCACTTTCCAGCATCTCACAGCGATTAGCATTGCAAATCACTTTGCCTTCTCCTTCACTACACAAATCAAAGCAAGAACGTGAATTCCACTTCTTGTCCCCCCTTCCTCCAAACCCTCATTCTGGCCCCTTTAAGTTCTCTCTGCGCTCACCAGCTCTGCAGTATTTGATTGGCCACTCTTGACTCAACAGGATTCAGATGCACTTGGCCCTGACCCAGTTTGCTAGCTCACTCAGCTGCCTTTCATTTGCAGCTTCAAAAGTGATTTCAGAAACCCATGGCATCAAAATTCTATGAAAGATCACCCTTCTTCAAGTTATTTTGTCCTCTGGCTTGCATTTTCTGTTTGCTGTATTCAGCTACAGCCTCAACTTCTAAAATGTTGCATCTTTCAGTTTCAGATTTTTCTAATTTGAGTGAAGTTGAAAGGTTGATAACTAATTACATGAATACTGCCATTATCGCTCTACTTCATACCACCTACAGACCGAGTAAGATAGCGGCTGTGATTCACAGACGAGCAGCTGAGGGTACCTGACTAAAGCACTTGAGGAGTGTGAGTTTTGTATGAAAAGCCTGAAATGTCCATCAGCATATACTGTGGTTTGTGGAATCCAGTGATTCCATCATTCGCTCTGCAGAAGAGCAGACCAGGTCCGTTTCCCATGTGGTTTACATAGAAGTCCTCGCACGACTGATGCAGTTCAAGAGCTGACCCTCTCCCCACCCCTGAACATGTGCATAACCCCCACACATACATGCACATTGATTCTTCTGCCAAGAAAAAGAAAAAAAATCAAATATGGTTACAGCTGAGCTGGTTTGTAGGAGCCTTCTCAGAAACTGTCTGTTTTGGTTGCCTGCCAAGTTCCATTTTGTGTACTTACTCCTAATTAAATTGTGTTTTAAACACATTCTAAAGATGATGCAAAGCTCTCCTATTTAGCTGCTTAAGTTTGACTGGAAACATGCAATCAATGAACAAAATTTTATCTGGTTTTTTTGAGATATCTAATTAAATATTCAACTCTCCAATGCAGAGACCACTACTCCCATGTATACGTTCCAAAAGCACTTTAATAAGCCAGTAAATATATTTCTGAATGACTTTCTGGCATTAAAATCCAAGACTGGTGTCAAGTAGAACAAAAATCATGCAGGGGAATCCTGTACAAATTTGGCAGGATTTGTATAAAACCAACACAGGCACGTTCCAATTTGAAGAGGCAAACCTCATGCTTTAGAAAATCAAATTATCAGATACAGGTGGTTAGGAAGGAATGTTTTCTTCAAAAAAGGTGGGGGTTTTGTTGGGGTTTTTTTGTTTGGTTGGTTGGTTTTGTTTGTTTGTTTTTGGCTGTGGTTTTGGGGTTGTTTTTTTTTTTTGGTAGCCAATTGGTTCAGCTAGTTTCTCTAGAAATATTACTGAAGTACTATCAAATTAGGCTGCTGATGCTAGTAAATGCTGAGCCCACCAGTACTTGCTGGATGTTGATAAAATGTCCTATTGATTTCTACTTTTCCCATCACTGAACTTCTTGAGAGACAACAATTAGTTTCAGAATATCTGGACCACTAGCTGCAAAGCAAATCAGTTCCATTTCACTTTCACTAGCCTTTATTCTTGCTGCTTTTGTTTTAGCCTAGACCTCGATGTCTGCTTTAGCCTGAACTTGAATGACCTCTTCAGAGAACAAAAAAAAAAAAAAAAACAGTGAATTGTGGGCTGTTAAAGAACACTGACAGCTTAAAAAATTCCACACCTGCATAAAAGAAAATTTCACCCCGAATCATCCTGCAGTAAAGGAAAGTCTGTCCTCCCTGCAAAGTTCCTTTACTAACTATATATTTTCCAGAAGATGAACTTGAATTGAGAAGTAGGGCATATTGCTCCTGAACTGACCGCCTTGCTCCAAGAATGTAGTGAAGAGAAAATCCATGGCCCTCGTGTTATCCATGGTTTATGACCAGCTTAGGTGGAACTCCCCTGCAGAAGACACGCTATGTGACCAGCAGCCAGCTGAGGGAAAGCATGAGCCAACAGGTGCTGCAGAGGCTCATATTGTTAAGTTGTTCCAACACTGCACAAAGTAGAAATGTGAAGCTTTGACTCCTGTAAGATTCTGGCCAATTGCATCCACATTTATAAGCATAAAATTATGGCACAAGAATCCATTAACAGTGGCCTAAATCCAATGTCTGGTCTTTAGACTTGCTCTTATTTCTCTGCCTTCCCCTTTCATAGAATCCTGGAATGGTTTGGGTTGGAAGGGACCTTAAAGATCATCCAGTTCCAAGCCCCCTGCCATGGGCAGGGACACCTTGCACTAGACCAGGTTGCTCAAAGCCTCATCCAGCCTGGCCTTGAACACTTCCAGGGATGGGGCATCCACAGCTTCTCTGGGCAACCTGTTCCAGTGCCTCACCACCCTCTCTGGGAAGAACTTCTCCTTGATATC